TAGGGTTTTCTGTATCTTAAGTGAGTTTTGCATATTGTGTTTGAATTCCATTTGATAATTGAGATGAAGATTAGTTTGGCTACACATAATCAATTACTATTTTACTTCTGGATCTCGAGTTAAAGATTCAATAGTTGGATTTAGATATGGTCATGGGCCGGCCGGCCTAAACCGGTCCTAGACCGGCTCGTAGTCAACATGCCCGAAATCGAGCTCGTAGTTTGACCGAGTCAGTTTTGGGCCGCCCATTAATAGAATTTTGACCCAGTGGGCTGGGTCCAGGCTGGTCCACAAGCAGACCTGGAGACGGCCCGCATGCTTTCCTTTTTTTTTTAATCCTTGGGTCGGACTGGGTTCGGCTTGGACCCACTAGTAGCCGTGGGCGGCCTAAGTATCTGGGCCGTTGGATCATTTTGACCATTGGACGACCAGATTTCACTTTTTTTTAAAAAAAAATCGATTTTAGGTTAGAGTCCGTTTTCAAGTCCAAAAACCGGCCCGCCCAGAACTCGCAATGTTCGCCAAAGATCAATTTTTCAAATCAAATATGTCTGTTGGATCATCTTCATCGTGGAGATCCAACGGTCTTGATCTGGATGATCTGTCTGACCCGTCGATTTTTCACACCATTTAGAGCATTCTTTCTCTTCCCTACTCATTTCTAAGTTCTTAGAGTGTCTTGTGCTCGGTTTGCTATAAAATCGGTCCGATTCTATATAAATTTGGTCCCGAACTTTCGATTCTATATATTTACTCTCATTTCGGTTCCGGTTCTACAATTTTTTTACATAATACTCTTTCGTTTTTAATTATATCATTTTTTGACCTTTTTTTAAATAAAATCTATTTTAGTTATAGAATGTAGTTCACGTGGTGGTGGTCGTGCCGGTGATCGGTCAACACAAAAGTGCAAAAATATAGGCGAATTTTCTTCGAGTAGACCTCTATTGTCGATGTCGAGACCAACGGTATAATAGAAGGTTCTAGGTCTTCCTGATGACGTTCAGTTCGAGTCGGCCCAACGCATCTTTCATTCTATTAAGGAAATCCACGAGAGCTTACAGTTCGAGGAGAACCAGGAGCAGCCGTATGAAGTCGATTTCAATCCTACTCAAGATTAAGGTGGAGGAGACCAACAACGTCAACGGACTCGGGGTAGCTGCCGTCGAGGGTCAGGGAATGAAATCTGATATATTGGCACGGCACTTCACGAAGGTGTCCAATGAGAAAAAAGGTGACAAACATTTTATATGTATTTGCAACCATTGTCCACCCAACGCCAAGAAGAAATACGCTTTCAAAATAGGTGATGGATACGGAACGATACAATGGCACGTACGGTTACATCATCCAGCCGAAATGGGGATTCCCACGACTCAAACGCAATTCCCGATCCTGGAGAGAAATAGCACTGCATCCACAGGTATGTCTTCTACTTTATTTCAAGAAAATGCTCCTTCCCCCGCTATTTACTCACTCCCTCGCCTACTCCCAACATTTATGTCTAACTTTAATAATTAATAAAGCAAAAATAAAGATAATAACATAAATATTTTAGAAAATTCATGAGTGAACCACAATAGAAAAATTAGACGCAATAAAAAGATCAATAAAAGAATTACAAGATTTAGTACAAAAAGAAAAAAAACATGAAAAAATTATTTAAACCAATTCAAATAGATCCGCCAACAAAAATAAAGATATCAAAACACACATGGAAAAACATAAGGAAGAACCTGATATTTATCAGTTTATTCTTGAAAAACTAAAAAAAAATAGAAAATAGAATAAAAACATTAGAAGAAAAAGACACAATTATTTCTTTTGAGGATTTTTTTAACTTTTAAAATGATTTTATAAAGCATAAATGAGGCAAAAACAAATTTATAATATTAATATAAATACAAAATGGAATATCAGTTTAATTACAAATTGCAAACTGGTATCAAAGCAAGTCAACGATTTAAAAATAAAATGAGTACAAGAAAAATATATTTTGATATAGGATGGGGAATACAAAATATAAAAACAGTTATAATAAGATATACTTATTTACATGAAATTACAAGTTTAGAATTTTATTATAACAAGATGATAAAAATAAAGAAAAATTAAAAAGATTAATAAAAATACAAAAACCACTAACAATTGTATAAAAATTTTATGACATACTGACACATCACAGACACAGGGAGTGTCAATGCGGTGGAAATTCCACGGGACGTGTAGCAGTTTTGTTATTTCAATGC